CAAAGGTTACTTTTTTCGCCGTTAGCTGTTGTCCATAGTTTTCCCGGCGAGGGATTTTTCGTACAAGCCTAATCGCCAACGCAAGAGTTTATATGCAACACGATCACCAGTTAGAGTAATTCCTTTTAATCTTTTTGAAATTCCCTTATTGAATACGGTCATTTTACTAGCATGAGGAATCATAAATGGGGATTACGTTTCTTGGGATTAACTGTAGCATTAAGTGTGTATTTTTTTAGAATGAATTTTACAATGATACAGGCTATGTTTACTTTGAATGCTGGAATTATCAGACAGTATGTAACAGGGTCTCATGGCACACATTTACTTATCGAAATATTATTTTTAATTCGAATAAAAATCAAAAATATAGAGAGACAGTTTGAAACAGCAGCTTGATACTGACATTTTGTGAATGTTGTATGATTATTGTTTGTATATATATCAATGCTATATAACTAACATAAACTGCAATCAACAAAGACAAAATCGATCTAGCCGTATGGGTCGCAAAGTGCCGCATGTTATTACCATATTTTGTGACCTGATGTCTGCGTTTTCTTGTCCAGCTGATTTGATCCGAAAGTAACCGGTTGGCACCCTTCGCCCAATATTTGCTAACCATCTAATAATATACCATTGACCATCACCAATTGACCGGTTCGCAAATTTCCGCCTAGCAGGCCGTCTCGAGCGTGAAAACGGCCTGATCTGATCTGATCTGGTCTTATTATCTTTTGTATGATTTATCGTTTCTTCCTATTATTAGTGAAAGTTTGAATTGAACGACTGAATGGCAATACGATGGTATTACAGATGTTTTTATACGACATACAGGCGTGCAATGCCAAAGCTTATCTGTCTGCATTGCGCATTGTTGCGTTTATCTGCCTTCAATTATCGACACGAGCTTGACATCGTTATTTATATATCGTATTTGCGTTTTTTTCGCTCTCAGGAGCTGTTCTATTAAGCCGTTTACGTTTTCAGTTAGAGGGAGAAGGAGGGGGCTTTTAGGGCGTGTTTATTTCTAGGCGCATAGAGGGGTGGCAAGTGACCTTCATTGAACGGCGGTTTCGCACGATCAGTCAATAAAATGCCCATGCAATACCAAATAAGTTTGCATTTTTCAACGCAAACTGTAACAAGCGTTCTCCTTACAGAGATAGACATACACATCGTCGGCTATACAGAGAAGCTAGATCGAAATTTCAACAAATCTTACGGACGCATTGTCAACATCGGCGGAAGCATCAGTAGCGGGCAGCAAGGGTAGCAATGGGAGAATCAGCAATATCATTTCGTAATGCCTACAGTGAAACTCATCAGGTTAAAACCATCGTTACATTCTACTTGTCGTTTAGATCCTTTTTCGTTTTAAATAGAATTGTGCAATGGACAAACGCAAGACCGACTCGGTGCCGGTTCGCAATAGATGCGTTTGCAAAGGTGGATGATCCTGCTGCCAGTGAATGAACCTTATAGCGTATATCTAGGTGGAGCTCATTGCCCAACTCGCTTAAAGACCATCATATCCTGTTAGTACTAACACTTGCCACTACCGTGACAGCCCCGGTCAACTGCGAGCACTGTTGGGCTTTCTCCAGTGTACTATACCCGCTAACGTCACCCGTAAACTAAATAGAAAACGCCGTTTCTGCGCCGGCTGCCATAGCGTGTGTCCAATGCGCTTCATAACGCTTACACCAAAACAAAAGTTCACAGCGGACATTAGATATAGCGCGCCGCTGCCGCAAAGCCACGACTGATTTGTTCAGTGGTCCGATATGCTATAGAAGTCAACAGGATCATTGTCATCATTATCGTCAGCTCTACGATGATCACAAGTGTCACACAGGCATTGTTATAGGCAGCACCGCTGTTATTGCTGTGTAGAATTCCGAAATTTTATGTTGGATAGTTCGGTAGAACCCGAATCCGCCATGAACCCGAATCCGAAATTCGTATTACATCCGATGTCCTTTAATAGTTTTGCTTTCGGGTTTGTTCGCTGCGTTCAACACAATTCTTTTAGCGAACTAGTAGTACACGTATATTTGTCCCAAGTACACCCTCTATTCTCTCCCTACGTTTCCCCGTCCGTATTCAAAGCATAGTTCCCAACAACACGCGTCCGTGGATCGTTATTTAGTCTATGTTGCGAGCCCAACCGCATGAACTATGGATAATAGCTGAGTGCAGCTTTAGTCATAGTACAGTAACAGAGGAATGCCGTATAGGGCGCGCTATGAAAACGGCAGTAATAGCATACTGGCGGAGACAGATATACACGGCGTTGAGATGACAAAAACAACAGCACCCATGTGGCCTGTAACATATCGTCCCGTCGGAGTTCGCCGTCCAGGAAGCCTGGCCTGGCGCTCGTCTCAACGGCGGTGAAGAGGGTCGACCTCCCCAGCATTTCTCGTGAGCATTTCGTTTTTGGAAAGCTAACATGCCGCTCACTACGAGACTACCCGCTAATTCACTTGCTTGTTCGACTTAACCGTGTTATGCTCCGATTGTGGCCTGGAAACAACAATGAAGACGGAAATGGCGGCAGGCAAACTCCCCCAAGCAGCAAAAGCAACCGTGTCCTTTACCTTTGGGCTCCCGAGGTCCCTCTAGCGGTCGTCGTGGGACAAGTTTGCTGTAAGAGTCACATCGAAAGAATGGTGTTCCCCCTTCGCCCCTTGTAGGCCTCGAAGTGTCGGCTGCGAACGTGAGTGAAGAACGACAGCGACGAAATTGACTGCCGATGCCGCCACCGTTGGGGAATACTGAGGTCATATAGATGAGCAAGTGAAGAGCGCTCATTGTTACCGTTTGTCGTGGTTCGTTTTCCCTGTTGTTACCATTGGCGACAGCCGCGTTTTCGCGCTGGGCGGGTGCTATTCTGACGAGGAGTGCTTTTCCCGTATAAGTCAGGGTGTCCTTTCTATTAGACAGAGTAAAGCTGTGCATGGACAGTAATGGCAGACTATGGCATGCGTTGGCACACGAACGAAGCGGATGTACCAAGTGCAACAGCACTGTAGACCCATGGGAAAGAGTTCATTCGGCAAGCAGAAAGCAGAAATAACGAACGAGCGGTTCGGATGATTCTGGGCGCTTGCAAAGCTGAACTCTGCCCAACACTCGATAAACTGAATGCAAGCAACAGCCTTATGACAAGTGACCCCCACAACTGTAATGGTTGCTGTACGGAATTACAGCTGATTGATCGGTTTTGTCTTAAATATTTCTGATGCAGAGCAAATGGCAATTGTCGTATCGCAGCTGCTGGCTGCAGGCCGTTGTGAAAAGCAGCGTTGTGTTTCGGTTGCAACTTTGAGAAGAAAAAATCGGCTGAGACTAAGGCTCCTTTTCTATGTGATTTATTTGTGTATAGAAAAATATGTACCGTTTTGTATGAACGTATAAACAGGAGTATTAAGCAGGAGATAGAAACACGAGGAGTACGTGTGAATGGCCAGCAGGTATACAGGCGCAGAACTGTAATATGTACATAGATATAAGCCCTATTTCGCTCGCTGACTTTGGTAAGCTGGCAGAACTGTTTTCAATTTTTTTTTTTCATTTTTTTCAACTTCTTTCTGTGTATGCAGTTACAAGCCGCTGTTGATGCGAAAATGAAAGTCTAGGATTTCTTAATTTGATTTTAATTTGTTTTAAGCAGGGAAATTCCGTTGTTTGTGCTCGTTCGTCGTAAATAACAGGTTGTACTATACCTTTTAGCAGTCACATGCCAAACTAGCGAGTGAGCGTGAATGTAAAATTGTCGAACACCACCGTTGCTCTTTGCCTTTAGTATGCGCATTCATGCACAATGGCACGTAATGCGTGTAAAAGAAACGTCATTAAATTAAAACTAGCACAACCAGCACGACGAGCCTCACAACAAAAAAACTAGCTCTGAATAAATCTACTTTTGTCTCGTCTAGTCCACCTACATATA